AACATAAATAAAATATCTTGAAGTAATTTGTCTTTGATTAAGACTTTAACATACCTAGTTCTCTATTGGGCCCACAATGAATCATTAGTTACTTTCAATAAAAAATTAAACAAAATCGACCTAATTACACAAATACTAAAAAAGTACAAGGAAAATGTCGCATCTAGTATTGTAACCAGTGAATTCTTTGATTCACGTCGATTCAAGCTTTTGCTGTATGATGTACTATTTGGAAACTAGAAAAGAAGAAGAAAAGTGTTGATACTTTCCTGCCTATGGATTTGCTGCAGTATCAATAATTAAAGTAAATGAACATCACCATAGCTTTTATGTGATCCATAGTGAGATCAACCGCAAAGCCATGATCTTTCTAGATTTGTAAAAAGACATCGATTATGTCTTCTTATTCGAGTTTTGACTTATTTGAATCAAGATGTTCATCAATGAGTTCTGAATAGAAAATATTAAATTTTTTGAAATTTTTTTTTGAAGATAACTGAATAATTTAAATAGGAATTAATAATCAGATTCATGGATGACATTATCCTGCCAATGCGTATAAGTGCTGTTCGGGACGCTGGGCTGGGATAAGTATTTGAGAGTTGCTTCTTTTATGTCAGGTTCAATAGGCATTTGAAGGGGACATTAATAAGGAAAAGTATAGCATGACAGTCCGTTATTCCTCGAGTGAATGACCATGCATTTTAAAACCAGCATATGGGCAACCCCATCAACCGGTTTCGTCTCATTCTCCTAAAATCACTGAATTACTCGTCTTCCTCGACCCAGATTATGGAAACGCTTTTGTCCTGAAAAAGCAGAAGCAAGGTAAGCGGGAAGCCTACTTAAGCTTCTGCCAGAGCAGATTATGGTGCTTGTTAAACGAATCATTACCTCACTCAAGTTGATAAATTCAGAAGCAACGAATGGTTGGAAACTTTTTTTAATCATTTGAGAAACCTGTATTCTTGAATCGGGCCATAAAGTTGCTGTTGAGTGGTGTTATTAAATCTTGGGTTTATTGTGGTTTTATATTCAAGTTTAACTTCTCGTCTATTATTAATTGGCCTTATATTCAAGTCAATTCTCTCTAATCTTTGTCAATTAGCTTTAAGTTGAATATTAAACTCTATCGTTAAAGGGATGGATAACAGGTATTTTATTCATCTCCCTCCAATAATCATTGACTCGTGAAAAAACTGGTGTAAGTTACTGATAACAGGAACACTAGGAGGACCAGGGGAAGAAGGTTTTAGCTACGGTTTCTTGGTTTCAGAAAGAAGAGGAAAAGAGGGAAGGCTATTGGGAGAACTCTAAATTAACAGTTTAGCTTGGTAACGGTGCTGTTTTTTTTCCCTGATCGGTGCAAATAATTGCCGATTATTAAGTCGGTGATATGTAATAGAAAAAATTATGAATTATTGATGAGACTGCTCCATTTGTTCTAATTTTTATTGGATTTGATGTATGAATAACAGAATTAACAGCATTCTCACAAATTGAAAAGACATGTTATCTCAAGTTACCTAACTAGTAATAAATAAAAAATCAGAGCTCAATAATTTTCATCACGCTTGCCAGTAAGGGTGCTTATGATTAATTCTCACGTGTCAGGCAGATATTAAACTTATAATTAGCATATATAATTCATAAAGCAGGACCTATTATGCTGTCTTGTTTCTGTTTGACTGTGACTGCCTATTGATTCTTCGGGATTCCATTATATAATTCTTGGAGAAACAGAAGTAGGTTCTAAGGAGGTAAGAAAGGATGGCTCCCTGGCAATCCACCCTTAGCTGGTTGCCACAACAGTCGAGGTCAATCTATTTTTTTTTTTATTTTTTTGGACCAAATGACTTTTGGGTTTCAAAAACTCAAAAAGGTCTATTTAGTAACTGTTTAGATTATATTTGGGTTTTGGAAGCCCAAAAAAATCTAATTTAAAAACAAAAATTATAATTTTAATTATAATTAAAATAAAATGAAAAAAAATAATAAAAAAATTACTTTAAATTACTTCAGACAAAATAGAGTGTCTACGCATACATGTTATATAATTTAACCAATTATGTACTTTTCTTCAAAAATTTATAAATTTTAATAGAACTTTAAATAAGCAATAAATGACATCTTTATTTATTAATTTAAAAATTCAAAAATTTAAGAAACATCGAATTGATCACTCAACTAGAATATTATGGATTTCTCGAATGAAAGTTTAATTAAATTAATTAATTTAAGATTATTAGATTATATTCTTTGAAGTGAAGATAATTTTTTTTTCGAAAAGTGAAGCGAAGACTACTTAAAAGATATTAAAAATACATAAATTTATTATTAAACATAGACAACATAAAATATTGTTGACACTCCAAACTAGAACAAACTAGTAGCAAACTAAGTTAATTGTATAAAATTACATGCATTAAGCATTTCAAAATAAAAAAACATTACATGCATTAAACATTGATCTCGTTGGCCACAAGGCAAAGAGCATTTTTTTTGTGTAAACTCAAACCAATTGTCACATCAAAGTCTAAGTCATCTTCACTCATCCCGATCGGCATTTCCCAATCAAATTTGTAGAGAAGATTAGCAAGGGCAAGCTCCACAGTCGCAACTCCCATATGTATTCCGGGACAAACCCTTCTTCCGGCACCAAAAGGTATGAGCTCAAAGTCTAGTCCTTTATAGTCAATAGAGCTGCCGATGAATCTCTCTGGATAGAATTCTTCTGGATTTTCCCAAGCTTCAGGATCTCTTCCAATTGCCCACGCATTCACATAAACTAAGGTTTTGGCAGGTATTTCATATCCACTTATGTTGCTCTTTCGTATTGTTTCTCGTGGCAACAACAATGGAGCTATTGGTTGCAATCTGAATGTTTCTTTTATCACAGCTTTAAGATAAGTTAAGTCTTGAATATCATCTTCAATTACAAAATCATTTTTCCTTATCAAACTTCTCACTTCATCTTGAGCTTTCTTCAAACACCTAGGATATTTCATTAGGAAGGTCATGACCCAAATCACACTAGCGGCGCTAGTTTCTGTTCCAGCAGCAAACACATTCTACATAAGAGAAAGAAAAAAAGACATGAGGAAATATGTATTTCAAGGGTGTTGAAGTTATAAGATTAATTAATGATGATACTTAATATCATAAAAA